TTTTCTACGGTCCTCTTCTCTGTCTCGGTCCTTCTCTATCTCTCTCTCTCTCTCTCTCTCTAGCTCTGTTTGTCTAGATCTCACTTCCTCTCTTTCCCTCTCTCTTACAGTCTCCATCTCGCTCTCTCTCTCACAACCTTTCTCTGTCCTCTTCACTCATAACATAATTTTGCGTATTGCCAATTGTTTCTTCCAATTATTTAATATGCATAAAATGAGCCAGAGACCAATTTCTATTTCTCGTATTATTTATGCTTCCACTAGTAATGCTTACAGGGTATTTAATCAGCAAAACGCCTGCAACAACATGCTCTAAAATAAAAGCAAAATAGCAAAACAAAACAATAATGCGAAGCGCACTCTTGCGCTGGGCTCTTAATGCGTATACGCCGCGTTGCACATTGCATCAAATGCTTTAAGCGAGTTCCCCTCACGGGTTGGCGACCGTTGCTCAAGCCGTTTAAATCAACAACAAATGGTAATAAAAAATTGTTGACAAAGCCAACAATAGCAACAGGAACAACAACAACTGAAGTGTGTGCTTCAGAAAACGAAAGCGAGGGGCCGAGAGCTGAAAGTAAATGCTCTATGCCAGAGCAGAGCAGAGCAGAGCAGAGCAAATAGTGGCTGCTGTGCTGAGAGCTGAGCCCAGTTACGGCCGCCTTAGGCCAAACTGCAAATGCAGCGCCTGCTGACCACAGGCATATGGGCGGAGGAGGAGGAGCAGGAGGAGGCTGAGAGCAGGAGCTGGGGCTGCAACAGGGACGACAAAAAGTAAGCCAAGCCCAGAGCATAATGCGCCGGTTTCGGGTCCCCTTGAGATATAATGCTTAGCATTTTTACTTTGTTTTTAATTTCTCTTCTGCCAGCAGCCTGCCCACCTCCTCCTACCCCTCCTCTCATCATGCCGGTCATTTTTTATGGTATTTTGTTTTCTTTCTTCAGTATTTTTTTTCTCTCTTTTTCTCTTTGCCTCTCTGGGAAAGTCTATTATGCTTACGAAAATTGCTTTACAGCTGCGGCAGCGGCTAGAAACAATGCGGCAAAGGTTACACAGCATAAAAGAAATACACACAAAAATGAATAATGACAGTGAAACGGCGAACGGCGAATGGCGAGTGGCGAACGGCGAGTGGCGGGCGGGCAGATTACTTCTCGCTAAGGACCTGGCCAACAGAATTCGCTATCAAAGTCTCAGCTGTGGCTGCAGCTAGTGAAAATATTTGCCCAGTGAGTGAGAGTGTGAGTGTGAGTGTGAAAGAAAATGGGAGCGGGCAAGCCAAAAGTGCAGTTAAAATAATTTGCGCATAATGAAGCCGGAAGTGTGAACGCAAAAACAAGAAAAGTACAAGAAATGGGAACTTCATTATCTATGGCAGCAACAGCAGCGGCGTTGGCATCAAAAGAAAATTACACAAAATCTCTGCCTGGCTTTTCTAATTAAAGTTTCAACGGCCTCGGCGCCAAAGTGAAATTAATGGCGTTGCCATTTTTGCCGGCTTGTTGCTGCTTCGCTTCGCCACCTCCTCTCCGTCCCTCTAGGTTGTTTAGCTCTATGAACTCAACGACGGTTCCTCGGGCACTTAATCTGAGACTCTCCTCTGGCCGCTCAAGCCAACGTCTCGATTTCGTTCGTAGTTCCTTTGCCCCATCGGCCATTCGACTTCCTGGCAAATGTGTGTAATTTATTTGCAATCAATGCGGCCTGAAAGGACATTATTTTTACATTATAGCCGAGCTGTGGAGAGCTGTGTGGGTACGTGTGTGTGTTCGTTATGTGTGTGAGTGTGTGTGAGTGTAAATGTGCCAGGAGTGGACGTGTTGCCAAAGCTTTGTCAGCAAACATTTGGCAGCTGTCACTTAATACTTTTGCATACCCTAGAATTGTTTTTATTCGAGTGGGGTAAGCTCAACTGTGAAGTTGGATGAGAAATTGATTTTTAGAGATGGGGAAATTGCTTTCGAATATATATCGACTAGAGGCTTACATGTTTTTATTTAAGTAAATTATTTTCAGGTCTTTCAACTCGATGTGCGAAATATATTTATATGAATATAATTTTATATATAGTGAATATATTTTTATTTATAGTGAATGTGAATAATGAAGACTAAATGTAGGTTCCTGTATTCATCGGGGACTTGACATGGAATGGAAAATAATAAGATCTGACTACGATCTAATTATTTTTCATTTCCCTGTAATTTATTTAAATTAAAATATATCTCTGTATATTGAAAATAACTTAAACCTTTTATAAATTATATATAATATATATAAATATTTTTTTTTATTAATATATTTGTTTTAAAAGTATTTGTACCTTGAAATTTAGACTCCTATGATTTAATTAATATATTTTATTTACATCGATTATATTTGTAATTTTGAAAAGTATAATTATTCATTAACTTAAATACATTTCTATACATATAACGTTTGTTCTTTATTTCCTGTTTCTCAACACTAATTATCAATCAGTTGGCTCACCAGTCACCAGTTCAGCAGTCAGCAAACCCATTTGTACATGGCTCGTACGAAGTTTCTCAAGCCAAAAATACTTATGCACAATTCATTAGGCTCAGGCAGCGAGTGTGCAAGCAGTGCCGCGGCCTGTCTCGCTGTCTGCCACAAATTTTTTTTGGTGCAGCGCAAAAAGTTGCTCGACCCACGGCACGTATCGTGTGTCATAAGCAGAAGCAGCTTAAGGAGCGCAAGGCAATGGCAACGGCAACGGCAGCTGCAACTGCAACTGCAACAGCAAGTTGGCAACTGTATGGGACGTGCCACTGGCAGTTGGCAAATAAAATTATTAACATCGCTGCAATGCAACATAAATAGGATTAGTGTCTGCAGTAAATGCACAACAACAACAACAACAACGGCAGCAACAGCAACAGCAAAGCGGCAATGGCCGCAACAAAAGCAGCATTTGCATGTTGCATTTTGCATGTTGCATACTTCACGGCGTCGTCATGCTCATATGATAAACGGAATGGCAGCGACAATGCCACACACATGTGCCCCATTGTCTTTCGCCTGTCTGACTGACTCTCTGCCTCTCTCTCTCTCTCTCTCTCCCACACACACTCTCTCGCTCTTTTTGCTTGCCTTTCTCTGTCTGTTTGTGGCCCGCTCGATGGCTCTTGTCTGTGGCGCAGAAAAATGCGGCTGAGTATTTTAGCAACATGCAAAAACTTTATGCCGTGCATCGGCGACGTCGCCGTCCAGTGTATTGACCCTCAAAGGTCCCCCCTCCACACACACACACACACACACACACACTCGCACACACTAGCACACATGTGCATTAGTCATATGCCCGGCCACGCCCACCCGCCCCGCTGACTTGTCGCGGTTTTTGCAAAGCGTTTGTTTGCTTTGCGGCTTCCGGTTTAGTTTCGAATCCGTTTTACGGATAACTGCATAACCGCTTTAAAATATTTTTGTTTGTGTTTTCCTACAATTTCTATTTTCATTTTCCCCCATTTGTTTCATACTCTTTTTAGTTTCTGGGGGCCTCTCACACAACTGTTACCAAAGAGCTGTCCGAAACATTGTCCAAAGTTACGTCCGACTGCGCCGAGTGCTCAACATTTCAATTTGCGCGCGGTCCGCATTAAAATATCTCATATCAACGTAATTAACTAGCTGAAGGCTCGAAATGCCTGTCGCAACATCACGGCATGCAAATTGAGAATTAAAGTGATTAAAATGTCACCAGCTGCGGGTGCTTCAAAAGTTGCCCAAGTGCATTCCGAGCATGCCGATTTGCATTTAATTAACCCAACTTAAACTCACTCAACTGCTCTGAAGTGTCAATTAAAATGTCTTCATTTAATTAATCACGTATTGAAGTGCAGCTACATGTATCTAAATTTTGATATGTGCAATGGGTATACTGAGCAGAGATCATAAATAGAGGTGT